GAACGGCTCCCTGTCATTCTCGGGGACAGTCGCGTTCAGATCAGCCGGAGGGTGAGCCTTTTAATTAACTTTTTATTTTACTTTCTTCTCTTTTCTCTCTGCTTTTCTTTTCTCCTTTCTTTTCTTTTTTTCCTATCTACGGAAAGAGAAAATTTGCTGTGCATCAAACTGGACAGATAAATCTTTTTTTCCGGCTCTCTGTGTGCTGAAAGGGTCCGGGCACTCAGGGTTGGATGCTCTGACATCCAGCGGCAGCGAAAGCCAAAGTCATGTGTGGTCCTGGGTCCGCACACATCACGGTTTCAGCTTTAGAAATGAAGAGCAGTTTCCAGAGGATTCAGGTCACTTTGGGGTATTTAATAGAGCTGTAGAGATAATGGTGTGAGCTTCTAGAGCACAGTGATGAAGAAGTCCACATCCACCACTCTTTACAAATAAAAGCAAAAATTTTATATCTACTAACATTTTTTTTTTTTTCTGCTGTTAAGGAGACACCAAAATGCAAGCACTGAAATACTCAGTTTCAGGCTGAGATGTTCTCACTGCTTGTTCTTACCTGATATTACACAGAAACTTTTTTTTCATGTAAATACCTCCTTAGTCTGGAGAATGGAATTTCCAAAGTGTTGCTGTTCAGTGTCTTCAGCAGCAACAGAGAAAGATTAGACCTCTTTTAGGAAAACTGTTAACTAGGAATTAAAAAAAAAAAAACAAAACCAAAACAAACCTCCTAAGAAGGATCATTTTTGAGCTTTTGTACGAAAACAATAGCTCTCTGATTTGCCAGAAACTTGAAATCAGGTGATAACGAGTTGCAGTTTACCAGCTCTGCAGCTGAATGTGTGAAATGGGGTAAATGGAGCAACACAAATGCTCAGCCCAAGGTTACTCAAGCAGTTTCACAGCTGGGGAGGAAAAAAGCTCGACTGCACTGTTGCTTGAGCATCTGATATGTTTTCTTTCATCACGATCTTTCCCCCTGCGAAAATGGGTAACAGGCTTGCTGTGTCTGCAAACAAACAAGTGGTATGGCAGCTCCTGCCTTAGTTCTCAGTGGTGGAAAGGCATCACAAGAGGAAATCACACTTGGTACCAAGAGCTGGGATGTTGCTTTACAATTCTTTTCTTGGTTTTGACAGCGGCTCCCATCAGGGAAAGTGGCTCCAAGAGTTGCTATGAAGTGCCCTGGACCTCCAGACAGCTCGAGACTTGCCTTCTTGCTGGAAAATGCCTTAGCCAGAGAGGCTAGGATTTGGAAAGTGCCAGTTTTCCAGAATCTCACCCTGAAGGTATTTTCCCCTGTCCTCTTTGGGAGTGCCCAAGGGACTCCGCAGAGCTGCAGTGCTGGTCCTGCCATCTAACCTGCAAAACACAGCCCACGGGGACTGAGCTTAAGGAATGGAGTGGGAGGAGGGTCTCTATTTGTCCCTTTTTATATCTTATTAACCCCCCACCTAAACCAGGTGCTTTGCATTTTTTGACTCAAGTAGTTTTGGGAAGTCTGGTGGAGCAGGTAAAGCCATAAATCTGTCACATTAGAGTTGATTGTGCTCAACACCATCTTTGAGTCCCAGCTACTCAGATGGGAGAAGAGGGAATTCTCTGAGCCCTGACAGAAACCCAGCCCCATTCCCTGCTGCTAAAGCCCCTCTGCTGCCTTAGGAAGCTCCCACACTTCATGGCCCTGTGTGTACAATGGAAACAGTTACGCTCAGCTGCTTCTGCAAAGCACGTCAGACCCATGGAAGAATGCAAAGTGCCCTGCCAGCCTTAGTCTCTTTTTTGCAATAGTGCAGAAATGCTATTCTTACCAAGTATTTTTACTACCAAATAAAGCAAAACAGTGAAACAGATAATGTGATGAGTAACATTCAACTAATTGGTGGTAAATGTTGTCTGTTTCTCAACACTGAGCAAATTCAAGGGCCGTTAAAAAAAAAAAAATACCATGCAGAGTAAATCCAAAGCTGCTCCTGACCCCAGTTTCTCTCTCCCTGGCAAGGCTGTCTGAATGAAACACGTGCTGCAGCAGAGGCTTCAGTCTTCTCTGGAGGGGGAATAATGAGCGCACTCAGCACTGTTTGTGAGAGCTCGGTTCAGTGGTTCAGCTGTGCATGGGGAGGGCTGGGTGCTGCCCCATTCAGCGCTCCAGTAAATTCCAGTACCAGGCCCTTGGAAGCACAGCTAGGGCCTGAGTGGGCAATGCTAATGAGTGCTTTAAACTGCTCCAAAATTTGCCCTTGCCCTCACTCTGTAGACACTGCAGACAACTTTTTTCATTTCAAGCCTCCAGACATCTGAAATGTTAATTAGAGCACTCGGAATCGAGTGTACCTTGGAGATACGTTAACAAAATCATCAGAGCACTAAGTGTATTCTTCCAACTTTTTCTTCCCTCAGGGCACAGATATCTCTTCGCTGTGTTACAAGAAAGCAGTTCTCTGGATTGCAGAGACCAGCTCTCGGTTCCAGTTTTACCCTGAAACGTTTGCACTAGCTGCCAGCATCCTCAACCGGCTATTGGCATCCGTGAAGGTAGAGCATCTCCGGCAGCTTTTTCTGGGCTAGATTACCGACTGGGGATGTCAGGAGTATGTAATCAGTTTACACACAAAGCCGGTACTATGTTTGGCAGCAGATTTAAGGAGCAGACAGGGTCTTTGCTGGGAAGGCTTTTAAGCATATATACATACATGAACTCAAGTGTTTGATGAGGCTCCTCCACTCACTGACAGTCCTTGGCAGAAGTGTTTGTGTGAATTGCAGTCCAAAGGCTGTGAGAAGTACAAAGAACTCATTATCATCTGGTTGTCTCTGCTAAACAGAAAACATTTGCATTATCACTTTTAATATTTTACTTTTGAAACCACTATTTGAAACCGTGGGGCCAACTTTTTCTGCTTTTGAAGCAACAGCAACGTTGTGAGTTGAACTGAGCCTTGCAACTCTGGATTCTTTTCAGGTTGATGCTGGCATTTCACAGAATCACAAGAAGGGTTTGGGCTGGAAGGGACCTTAGAGATCATCCAGTCCCACCCCCTGCTATGGGCAGGGACACCTCCCACTAGACCTGGTTGCTCAAAGCCTCATCCAGCCTGGCAAAAGCAAATTATTTAATTTCTCAGCTGAGAAGAGGAATAACATGGCATTGTAAATACTGTGGCATTGCGTTGTCTAAAAAATTGTGGGATACATGAATAAAAATTGCAGCAAGAAGAGGGTTTATTTTGTTTCACTTGGGATTGCCTTGCTCTATTTCCAGCTTCAAGTGAGTCTTTCTGCAGTTAAACTAATTCAGAAGCAACTGTAACTTAAATGGGAGTTTGAAACTTGTGCATCTGCCATAGAATGACAATTATTTCCCCTAAGACTGTTATCTTCTTTGCTCAGTGTTTTCTTCTTCTCCCTCCAGGCCCAATTAAAATATCTGCAGTGCATAGCCATTTCCTGCCTCGTCCTTGCAGCAAAAACCAACGAAGAAGATGAGGTCTGTATGTTTAATTTTAAACACACTCAACTCAGCTCTTGTGTTCAAGTTGTTCATATTTCCAGGTTTTTCAACAGCTTGGGCATAACGAGGAAGCGTTAACTTGTTCACCCTCAGGGGTGACAGTAACATTTGCAGTCCTGGTTCACCACTGCTTGGCAGAATTGGGACCGTGTGGATGAAGGACTTGTGTTTGCTCATGGAAGGGATGCGCTTTCCTCCTCCTGCCCTTAAGCCTCTCTGCAGAATCCCCTGCTGACAGTGAAGCTGGGTCTGGGGGCAGTCAGGGTGCACAGGCGCAGCTCTGTGTGCTCAGCAGGGTGCTGCGGTTCCATCGTTACCGGTCCGGGGAGGGCAGGGTGGGCAAGACGGGGCAGAGGCTCTTCAGAGCAAGCTTACAAGAGATGAGTTTGCTGGGTGTTGAAACTGGTTTCTGAACCTGGTGAGGAAATGACTCAGGTCTGCGCCTCCAGGTGAGCGTGTAAAATCAGCACCTACCCCTGCGAGATTGCGCAGGATCTCCTCTCGTGGCAGAGGTGCCCTGATAAACTTCTTCAGGCATTTACAAACATGAGCCAGGAGCATTTCAGATGGCATTTCTCCTCTTTCCTTCATTCTGCTGTGAAAAAGAACAGGAAACCTAGGCGGTGCAGTCAGACACGCACGTCTCTTCGAACGAATTCTGCTGTCTTCGTAGGCTGCCGTAGGATGTGTCACACCGAGGTTCTTCTCGCCTCAGCTAAAGGAGAAGCTGAGTCAATGACCACAGGAAACACGACAACCACAGAGGCCCTGTAAAACCAGCCCAGAGGAAGCCTCCTCCTCCTCGCCAGAGGAGCAAAACTGCTAGCAGGGAACTGGTAGCAGGGAACGTGCATCACCGATGCAGCGTTAAGGAGGCTCCCGGTGACCCAGGAGGGGACCAGCATCGTCCTGGCCGGGGGGCTGGGTTCCCAGCCAGCCGCCCTGTGACGAGCAGGGGCCAGTCTTCATTGAGGATGGGATGTGTCAGATCTCTTTGCAATACAGAGAAACGCACACAGCACAGTGTAGGACGTTGGCTTCTTTATTATTTTTAATTTTTTTTTTTTTTTTTTTACAGATAATACCATCGGTGAAGATGCTCGCAGTGCAGAGTGGTTGTAAACGCTCTCCAGCTGAGATCTTGAGAATGGAAAGAATTATACTAGATAAGCTTCACTGGGATCTTTACACAGCAACACCAATGGATTTCTTAAACATTGTAAGCACTAAATTTTGCAATTTTTTTTTTCTTTAAAGAAACAGCTCCTTATCAAATAAGACTAGAAAACAGAGATGCACACACATACACGCACCCACGCATCCTTTCCCAGATGATTTGCAAACTACCTGTCCTTAGCTATCTGCGAGTCTTTTGAAGAATGTTACAGTGATTTTTTTTCATCTATTTTTAAAATTTTCTACTATTTAAAACCTTTCATTTTGCTCAAAAAAATTACTCTCATCTTTAAAGGACAACTAAAATGGAAGTTAAAAAGATTGTCATAATGCACAACTATACGCCATGTTTATTTTTTTTTAAATACACACTGCAAAAATATTTCTAACTATTTCCATTCTATTAATACTGTACATAGAAAGCTGTCAGAGTTTTGCTACATTTCACACACAGGTTTTTTTCCTTAAACCATTTTCCTTTTCATCCCACTAATAATTCACCCTTGTTTCAGGCAATGAGGCTGCCTCAATCTGGCACTTGGTTCACATTGCAGATACTCAACATTTGATAGAAACAATTAAACCTTGTCTTCAAGAAACGATCGTGTGCTAGTAAGGCAAAAAAATCATGTGACACAAACACATCCTGGATCCCTTTTTTAAGGTTATGTGCAAATATTAAGCCATCTTAGGCTGCTGATTGTGAGAACTGCCTGGCTCAGGTGCTTGTTTCCTCGGTAAGCTCGGCGTGCACTCGTTCGTGTTGGGTTTATTCGTAGCTGCTGGCCTGAATCGAATCTCCTGGATAGCAATCTGGATAGCGTAGAAACTTCAGAAATTGTTAGGAAACACAGACCTTGTACATTCGTTATAAGCTCAAAAAAACAGTTCAATGGTTGGCAAGTACAAACACAAAAATACACCAAAAAAAAAAAAAAAAAAAAGGGAAGGGATGAAACTCTGTAGGTTTCCTGATGTGAGATGAAATTAGTCTGTACTTCTGGTCGATAACAAATGAAAACATACAAAGTTCACTGACCTGGGCTTTTTTTTTTTTTATATGTATATGTATATATATCTCCTTTGTCTTCTCTCCAGTTCCACGCCATGGTGATGTCCAGCTGGCCCCATCTACTACCCGGGCTGCCTCAGAGGAATCCTTCCCGCCACGTCGCGCTCTTGACCAAGCAGCTGCAGCACTGTATGGCGTGCCACCAGCTCGTGCAGTTTAAGGGCTCCACGTTGGCCTTGGTGATCATCACCTTGGAGCTGGAGAGGCACACTCCTGGCTGGCTTCCTGTTACTACTGATCTGCTGAAAAAAGCACAGGTAGGAATCAAAATGGCCTTTGGGCACAAAGCTGGAGGCCAGGACATTGATAAATTACTAAAGCGCTCGTGTATTTACAACCAACGTTGCCACGAGCATCCTTCCGAGCACCACGTCTCTGCGTTCTGCCTTTGCTGCAGACGTTGCTAGTGCCAACAGAAGGGACCAGGACTGCAGCAAAGGGCTGAGGCTAGGAGGCGTCCGCATCCCTTGACCACAGATAGCTCCCTGCCTCCTGAGCATGGAGAGATTCTCCCAAAAATGGGAGAGTGAGCATCTAAAAACCTGCCCACTGTGTCCCCAGCCTCCCACTGTGTCCCCAGCCTCCCACTGAACACTGCGAAAACTTCTAAATACAGCTGCATTGCTTTAAAATATTATTAGTTTGGCTTCTAGTGATACACCAGCCTCTGGGGTTTTGCTTTAAACCTTTTCTCCAGCTCCATAAAACACATGCCTTTTAAGAGAGTATACCTGTGAAGATCAACACCCCAGCTGTCAGCTTACCGCCGACCCATTCTGTGGTCTCAAATTTATCCGGAACAACCCACCCTCCTGCTCTTCCCCCAACTGTTGTCGCCTCCTAAAAGGAGGGAGCGTTCGCCCACCTTTTGTGCGGTAGCTCAGGAGCTCCTGGTTCAGTGTTTGGCATCAGGACCAACGCGCCCGTTGCTGACACACATCTGTTGAGGCACCGACATCCTGTCCCTGTCCCCCTGCTCGTTACAGGAGCAGTGCCCAGAAGAGTCATTTATCACGATCTTACAAAATATCTGTATCTTTCCTTACAGGTTAACAGCACAGAATTCATCCGCTGCAAAGAGCTTATGGACCAAGAGCTGATGGGCTTGCAGCCGTCCAACGCCGTTTATATTTTCTGTCCCATCAGCCCAGCCCTCCAGGGCCACCCCAAGGCCAGGCCACCCTGCCACCACCCTTCTGGACTGAAGAATTCCCACCAAGTGAGGTTGAGGGGTGCTGTCAACCCACCCATTTCCCCACCTTTCATGCCCACTACAGCCCCGTCTCCTGCTGACACCGTGGAGAGCGATGAATACTACGATGGGTTCCGACAGCTCTACAGCGAGGACGGGGGAGCGAGCAGTGGGAGGGTGAATGCAGGGGGCTCGTGGCCTCAGCCGAGGGCTGGAGACGGCAGCTCCCCATGTCCTCCCCTGCAGCCGCCTGAAAGGGGCTAGTGGAGAATTCCTGCCTTGGAGCAGCAACTGCAGAACCAGTAAGAACCAGCAAACAGCCGACAGCCCAGCGAGAAGCGCTGCTGTGTTTTTCAGCGGACAATGAGACATTGCTATGATCTATTTTTCACATCCTTCCTAAGCAGGGTGTGCCACCACTCGGTTTTTCACATCCCACAAATACCAAAAGCTGGGGAGAAGAGGGACTGGCTCACAACCTACAACTCAGGGATCAAACTGCCAGAAGGCTACAAATTGCACCAGAGAGAACCAAGCGTCTTGGTTCCTGAAATAGCCGGGACGCAGTGTGCCAGCCCGAGCCTTTCACCTGGCTCACGCCGCTGTTCTCTCCTTAGAGCTGATCCGACTCGTCCCCGGGAGAGCGAACGGGGGCTGCTTTCGAGAGAGGGGAGGCTCCCACGGCTGGCTCTGCAAGACAACTCCTCAGGTGGAACCGAGGTTTGGTTCAGTAGCAAGAAGACAGAGAACCAACCCTTCCAGCTTTTCTGATGTCCTTACCCTGGCACCCAGGGGCTGAGGTCTGTGCTTCCTCCTTAGGGACCCAATCCCAGTCCCTACAAACTGGGAAATCACTTCTTGTCCTCAATCACTGTGGCCTTCGGCATTTGCCAACCAGCACGTGCCATTCAGGGATTTTTATTTTTTTAATTTATTCTGTTTTACCAGACTGGACAATACAAAATGCCTTTAATTAGTTCCACCCCCTCCCCTCTTCTTTTTCATTAACTGCTCATCTCCATAGCAAAGCATTCTTACAAACTACAAAGGTCAGTTTAAAGCTCTAGTGCACTTTTTAAAACCAGCCGTACACGTGCTTTTAAAATAAGTGTTTTCTTTAGGTTTTGTTTGGGGTTTTTTTGTTTCTGTTCTTGTTTTAAACAGAGCAGCATTTTCAGGGGATTTTTATCCTTGTGTGAAGATGTAATCCCACCAGGACTGTGCGATTACCACCACCCCTCAGCAGGTCCTGACCCAGACCAGGGAAGGGTTTCCCACGGACCTGCCCAGGCTCAGTGCTGAGCAGGGGTCTCACGTAGTGACACAGGATGAACAACCAGGGACAGGGGTGAGACCCTTGTGCTGCATAACAGCATCACTCACCAGCACAGGAGGAAAGTTTCTGGCTTTCCTTCCCTTGCTCATCATCTTACCTTGCAGGAGCAGAATTGGGGAACACGGAGCTGGGCAGGAGCGATGTCCTGAGCAGCTGTTACAGGTTACGCTCGCTGAGGTGTGACATTCAGACACTGCCAGAACCCGCACTGAATGAGCTCTGGCTGCGAGCAGGGAGAATGCCACGCTTTTCTTTCTGAACCACAAAGCAAGCAGTGCCTAAGTGCGCCAGAAAGAATCATTTGGTATCAGCATCACCCACCCGCCAGACCCCATCCCACCCCAGCACAAGGCAGGGGTACAGGGTGCAAGCTTCCTGCAAACCTCCAGCGGGTTTTCCACCGGTCCTGCCCCCTCAGCCCCGGGCAGGGCACCGCAGCCCCGGGACACGCAGCAGCCTGGGGATGGGGAGGGCAGGGAGGCTGCTGGCAGCCCCCAGAGGGATGGGGGTGTGCAAGGGACATCACACTCCAACACAGACACACAGGGTGACAGGGTGAGCAGAGAGAAATGGGAATAGCAGCGAGCGTTGGGAATCTGGACACAGCACGGTGTTGTCCCAGCGAATAGAACCAGGGTACAAACACGTTTTTAACAAGTGTTTGTTAAACAAGTCAGTTTTGGTTTTATTAAACCCAACTTTGGTACAAGCAGGTCATTCCTGAGATTCATTTACAAGGTTGTTTTAAAATGAAGATGAAAGGAAGCCTTTCCCTGTCCCTGGGTGTAGTTACACCGGGGCACAGACATCACACTTATCGTATTTTCCCTTTTTAAAAAAAAAAAAAAAACCCAAGTATTTGTGTAAGGGGAAGTTATTCTCTTACCAACACAGAACTCAAGCAGGAACATCGAGTCTCCCCTCCATTAACATACACCATTTAGTTGTCCGTTAAAACGGTCCCATCCTCACCCCCCACATCCCACTGGGAAGCGCTGGAGCCCCCGGAGCAGCGAGCGGGGCGGTGGCAGGGAGCTCGGGGAGCGATCGCGGTGGGAGGCAGGCAGGTGCAGCCCTGGGAAAACTCAACAAACGATGGTTGGGGGATCTGCGTTATAAAATTGTTAAATTTACACAGCAAAGCTGCCTGGAAGAGTTATTACCAAGAAATGTGAGAATCCAGGTGAGGTGTTAGGGACAGGAGGAGGGTCCCCAGTTACACCCCAAACCCGAGCGAGGAGGGGACACGCAGAGACCCCGGCACGGCGGCAGCTCAAGCAGCAAGCTGGAACCTCGCCTCGCGCTACCTCCCTGCTCTCTCTGGGAGCTTGGTCAGTGTTAACTGCTCCGACCGGGCTCTCGCCCAGAGATTAGTGCTTTGGTTTTAGCGCAAGCCATGCAGCAGCCTGGATTAGCCACTTATCTTTTGGCAAGTATCTTAGATTTCAGCTTTATCAAGAAACCTGATCAAGCAAACCTTTCCCCATCAAAAAATACGGTGCATCTTAGTCCTCGCTATATAATCTCTTCAGTGCAATATATTGCAAGCTTAAAGGTGAAAGCACCAATTAATTTCTTCTGCATGAGATGTTTTGGCCTT